ATCTTTCCTTTAAGTTCTGAAATAATTAAAGCAACTGGAGTTGTCACAAAGACGGCATGGGCTGGGGCTGCATATAATCTTATGTTGTACATGCTGGCTAGCCATGTATGTAATCTTATTCTTCTTCATTTAAGCCTGTTCTGTTCTGTTCTTCAAGCACGTAGTGAATTTCCTCTCTCTGAGTCTTACAAATGGGTGTCAACTTAATGACTTCACTCATGCAGGTTCTAGGTGCAGCATGGTATTTGTTATCAGTTGACAGGTATATGTCATGCTGGAAGTCGAATTGCAAAAAGGAAAAAGGCCCTATCAAATGCTTACTTAATTACTTAGACTGTGATTCTGTGAACCTTGATCTCCGCAAGACATGGGTAAATAGTACAAATGTGTTCACCAAATGTGATCCAAAAAATGATTTCAATTATGGCATCTTTGGAAATGCAGTGACCAAACATGTTGTTTCCTCGAACTTCTTCGAGAAGTATTTCTATTGTTTATGGTGGGGATTGCAACAGCTTAGGTATGACTTCATCATTTCTACATGTTCAACTATTTATTTCAATTTCAATGTCCATTTCTTGCATGTTAATATTGTTGATTGCTGCAATTAATTAGTCATTAGTTATTTGTTTTTCCTCGGGAGAGAACCTTGTTGCTTGTTAAATTTATCAAACTAATACTTAGGCAGCTATCTGTTGCACTTGCAGTGCAAGTAACCCATTTATTCTGCAAGTACTAGTTTATGGGCCAAGCTTGTAACATGATAACCTACATTGACTACAAACTTCAAAATCTAAGCATAGAAATAATCATAACAAATATGCCAAAGTTACAAAATCATTGCTTTATCCGTTTTTCTTTCAAAAACAAATCGTTGTTATTTTTAAATGAAATGGTCATTGGTTATGGTATGAAGTTTGCTTGGCACTACTTTTGTCAATTAAGTTCCATAAGCTCAAAGAGCAATCTCATTAACGAGCAAACTATTTGGCTAGCTATTGCCAACATGTTAGAAAGGAAACCCTGCAAGATATAACTTCCTCACAGACAGGTGGTCTGCAAGAAGTAGAAATTTTTAAAAACCTTGCAGCACAGGACCATTTCATGGGGGGTTTGGCTTGAGCAATTAGAGAACAAATTATTACAGATAAGTCATCACAGTTTATCTGCAAACAAAAGATCAAGAGAGAGGGGAGAAAGGGAGGAAGAGGCCGACTGCAAAAATTGTTGTCCATAAAATATATCTGTTTGTTATTTGTCGAGAGTCCCCCCATTCTCCCATTTTCTTAATATTGCACATGAAAGAAATGGGTATTGATATGTGAGTTATATACAAATGTTGATACTTGCTTTTGCTTTCTTGTTGTCTCAGTTCATATGGGCAGAATTTGTCAACAAGCACATTCATTGGAGAAACCTCATTTGCTGTGCTTATTGCCATATTGGGTCTTGTTCTATTTGCTCATTTGATTGGGAATATGCAGGTATTATAAACTGCTATATTATTCACTTCTCTTCAAATTATTGAAATTATTCTAGTTAATCAGCAGTTAATCTTTTTTTTCTTGCATACATTATCTATCTTCTTTTATCTGAATGTGAGAGGATGGGATTGTTAGAAACTTTTGGCTGTAAGTTTTCTCTAGAAATTCAAAATATATCTGTCTCCATTTCTTTCCTTCAAATAACACCTAAGCTATTAGAAGCTTCTGTCTTATATTTTCTGCAATTTTACTTTCTTACTGAGGAAGTGATGAAGTTAAAAATTTCAGCAGTATCTTGTTCAGTTGTCTGCCCATCTGTAATCACCTTTTAGCACTAAGAGGTTAAGTTATTTCTCTTGTTTCTGCCGACTTCTATTTGAATTAAAATTTGAAAGGACAAAATTTGTGCCTGTACTTTCATCTTCCTGCATGATCTTCTGGTTTATGGTTTTCTTCATGACGTAGACGTTCCTGCCATCTATCACTGTGAGGCTTGAGGAATGGAGACTTAAGCGAAGGGATACTGAAGAGTGGATGAAGCACCGTCAACTCCCAGAAGATCTGAAACACCGGATTCGGCGTTTTGTTCAATATAAGTGGCTAGCAACTAGAGGAGTTGATGAAGAAGCAATCCTGTGTGGTTTACCTGTTGATCTCCGTCGTGATATTCAATGCCACCTGTGCTTGGACCTTGTTCGGCGTGTATGTTCCTTCCGAGAACTTTTTTGTCTTATAGAGATTAAAAGAATGCGCTGGGTTTACATTTTGGTCCTAAATAAGGAGGCTGACGATCATTTACAGAGAACTTTGATCATATTGGACTGGATGAAGTGGAATATCTTGAGAATATCACACGCAATTTTACTGTTCTTTTCAAAAAGAAAAAATTCTCTCCTTTTTTTTTCCACGTCCTGTGTCCATCTGTTCTAAAGGGTATCTGGATCAAATGCTTCAAATGTTGTACAGATATATCATGGTTTTGAAAGACATACATTAGCTTTATCTAACTTCTGTTTGATGAAATTTCTTGAAATATGGCCATAATTCCCTTGTTATTTGCAGGTTCCATTCTTCTCTCAGATGGATGATCAACTGCTTGATGCTATATGTGAGCGTCTAGTTTCTTCCTTATCTACTGAAGGCACCTATCTTGTTCGTGAGGGGGACCCTGTGACAGAGATGCTCTTTATTATCAGAGGTAGATTGGAGAGCTCTACAACTAATGGAGGTCGTACTGGTTTCTTCAATTCGATCACATTGCGACCTGGAGATTTTTGTGGCGAGGAGCTACTTGCCTGGGCTTTGCTTCCGAAATCCACCATGAACTTGCCTTCTTCAACTAGAACAGTGAAAGCATTGGTTGAAGTTGAAGCTTTTGCACTCAGAGCAGAAGATCTCAAATTTGTAGCCAACCAATTTAGGCGCCTGCACAGCAAGAAGCTCCAACACACTTTTCGCTTTTACTCGCACCATTGGAGGACATGGGCTGCTTGCTTCATACAGGTTGCTTGGCGTCGATACAAGAGGAGAATGACGGAAAATAATCTCGCCTCAGTTGAATGTTTTAATATGGATGAGAAACAGGCGAATGAGACTGATCAAGAGCAGGAACATTCATCTGCTGCCTCAAATCATTCTCAGGCAAAGCTGAATCTTGGAGTCACAATACTGGCTTCAAGGTTTGCTGCAAACACAAGAAGAGGAGCACAGAAGATCAAAGATGTTGAGCTATCAAGATTGCGGAAACCAGAAGAGCCTGATTTTTCTGCCGAGGCAGAAGACTAGTTATTTACATTAGGTAAGAGTAGCATAACTAACTTCTCTCTGCTCAAGGGTGACTGAATTCCACTTGAATGTTTGACAAAAAGTCGAGATATTTTTGGAGCAGAGGGGAAATGATTGTGTTGTGTTGCTCTGTTACTACTATGTATATTACCATTTCTATTTGTAATATTACATTCAATGTGCTGGCCTTCAGGGGTCAGCTGATTAAATCAACAGTATGAAGAATGAGCTTTGGGAATTATGTGGATTATTTTAAGAGGCATGTTCCCCTGGGAAGAAATGTATTTCAACCCAAAAAAGAGAAAAAGAAAAGTGGTCAGTTCATTTACAATTTCGTACTTTGTTGATGAATTCAACATCTTTTTATTAAAGTTATTGATTCTAAATTTGCTCTGATTAGTTTTTAGTATTAAATTTAGTTTAAATTCCAAATTCTTGAAGAAGATTTAGAAAATAGTACAAATAAACTAAAAATTTAATTGATAATAATATCTGATTTTAAGTAAATTTCACATTGAGTTTAAATTAATTATTTCTTGTAATTTCTTTATTAGCAAGCAGAAATAAAAAAAAAAAAATCATTATTATAAGGTTAAAAATATGAATAAAATTTGACCATGTATAAAATGTCATTAACTTCTATTTTTATCAAAGAATTTGAAATATAAAATAAAATAAATTTAAACCAAACAAAATAAAAATTAAATTAAAAAATATACTTTTTTAAGGTTCAATAGGATTTGGATCAAGTTGTGGTTTACTGGACCTAAAAATTGTGGATGAGAGGAAGCTTTTATATACAGGTTACAGGTTACAGCCTAAACACTTATACTGCAAAATGTTAGGTAGCAGCCCATCAGCTACCTTGAGAAATTATCGTACAGAAAGTCAAATCTGTTAAGTCGTTCGATCTACTTATGGGCCGTACCTATCAAAATCATAGAACTCTATATTCTTGTATTTCTGAGATATTATCTCTGCTTGAACTTTTCTTGCAGTATCCGTTGCACACCCAACAAGAATGAGAACAGAAGTGCCTGCAAATCCCCGGAATGCAGTCAAGTGCGTGACTTGTTCTACTACAGCAGGACCCGCAGCCAGGATTGCCAGAAATGCTGAACCCAAAACTGATATTCGGCTGAGAACCTACACAAATGACAACTGAGTAAAATTTTATGAAGCGTGGGAACATGAATCTCCATCTCCCATGACTTAGGATCACTTGGAGTCCCTAATATGAGCAGTGTGAACAGCATGAAGATTCGTTCACAAAATATGAATGTGTCAACAGTTCAATTGTCACCAAGTAAATATCAGTCATGCAAAACCATATATCAGATTGCATTAGTGCAATGGTACTCAATTAAAACATGCATTACTGCAATGGTACTAATATGAGCAGTGTGAACAGCATGAAGATTCGTTCACAAAATATGAATGTGTCAACAGTTCAATTGTCACCACGTAAAAATCAGTCATGCAAAACCATATATCAGATTGCATTACTGCAATGGTACTCAATTAAAACATGCATTCTTTACCTAACAAGATGCTATAAAACCAGAGAACAAATGTATCTCATAATAGAGAAAGATTACCGTTTTAAGAAATGCAGCTGTACTTTTACCGGGTCTGACCAGTGGAACTGATGCACCTTGACGCTTCAGTTGTTCACTCACATCATCTGGGTCCAGTTGTAAGAAAGTGTAATAGTAATTGAAGAAGGCAATTAGAAGAATGTTGGTGGGAAGGTAAAGAGAACCTGTATATATTTGTATCAAGTTAGGCTTTCATCATTCACAAATTACCAATGAATTGATTGTCAAGTTCATAATTTACTCTAATTTTTTTGGGTATGTATTTACATGCTTGCAAGATTCATGATGTCCTGACAAATAGAATAAACTGGTTTAAGGAGCCCTCAAGCCATTTCCTGGTACACCTTTCAGTGCCTCTAAAGAGGAAACCATTATCACCATTACCAATGTCAGAAGCAAGGGCGTCCCTTACCATGAATGCTAAATTAGCAGTAAAAAGAAACCTAATGATTTATGCATCATCCCTCCAAAGTCCCCATAAGAAGTATAACAAACTAACAAACATCTACAGATTAATGCATCTCCAAAGTCCTCCAGAGAAGCATAACAACTAACAAAGACCTAAAGATTTATGTTTCCCTCCAAAGCTTTTAGAGAAGAAGTGAGTTTTAAGCCAATCAATTTTTTTAATGGCATTCTGCCAGAGTATACTGGTAGAACTCAGATAAGATTTTTAGAGTGATGAGGTTTTGCAGATGAAACCCAATAAGCTGAAATCTCACTTTTTCCACAACTCCTATCAGTAAAATTTCAAATCTTACCCCCTGGGCTCAAAGTCACTGCTGCCTTCTTTAATGCAGTGATACCAGTGAATCGGGCTAGAGTACCAGGAAGGGCCAATGATGAGGTAGAAAATATGATTGGCATCACTCCGGAACTATTTACCTACGAAGGAAAAAATAATGGAAATCAATTAAAAGATAATAAAACTACTGGTTCCAACCAAGGCAAAAACAAAACTACCTGTACATCCATGTATAATGTAGCACAAGCAACAGTAATCATATATTTTATGTGGCTGCATCTTGTGTATCAGAGAGTGAGAAAAGAGGGGGGGCCAGGAGGTAGAGAGGAAGAGTCTATCCCATAATAAAAGCTAAGCACAAATGATAAATTAGGACTACTGTTATTTCAATGAGTATACAGAAGCAAGCAGTATAATCACAATGAAGGAACAAGTCATTACATGATTTCTACTCTTTAACAGAAAGAAAACATAATCAGTTGAACCCTCTTTGTTTTTCTCTCTCTCTAAAAAGACACCGGTTCAATTAATTTTCTTCCTCCCACTCTTCAGAACTTGATATCACTTCAACACCAGATACAATTGAATCATTGTGCATTTTCTTTTCTTTTTTTCGTTTGGGGGTGAGGTGGGTTCCCGTGGTAAGAAATCATGTGACTTGTTTCTCACTAAAATTTTGATCCTTGTTTCTCATAAAGGAAGAGCGTGAAAATATTCTCAGCATTAATGTGAAGATATCTTCAGTATCAACACTGAAATATTCTCAGCATTTAATTCATTACCATAGAAATATTTTCAGTCTTTAATTCTTGATTTGGTCCAAAATACAGCTATTATTAACCGTACCTTTTGTGCATAGAAAGCCACAGGAAAGTGGAAATATTCAGATGATGTTTTTATCACAAGAAACTTGTGGAACAAAAGAAATTATATAAATTCCTAGTAAGACTAACTGAGAACTTGGATGATGTGCATGGAAGGATCTTTCCAAACCAATTCCTAACATTCATTAAGTGTTTGCTAAAGTTGGGCGTGAATAAAGCCACAGGAAAGTCATAATAGGAACTCATAATTCATTCAACAATGTCAAAGCAACTGCATTTATAATTAAAGGAGGACAAACTACCACTCAACTCCAGAAAACAAAGGAGGGAAATACCAAATTTTGATCATTGTCATAAACTTGGTCATACTAAAAGATAAATGCTGTGATTTGCATGGCAGACCAGAAGTTGAAAATTTAATACCAAGAGGGAGAGCACAAGTAATTCACCCATCTCAAGTGAGAAGCATGAAAGTACTGGGACATCTCTCTTAACAAAGAACAATTGGAATTGCTCCAACAATTATTTTTGCAGCAAAACAATCCACCTGCTACTTCTATAGCCTCAGGATCTGTGGCTCACAAAAGTAACATCATGCATGTCCTTAATGTTGCAAAGGAAAAATCTGTTGTCTATATTGTTTACTCAGATGCCTCTAATAATATGACTCAGAGATGCACAGTTATGTGTGGATTATTAATGGAACACAATCATAAGTCACTAGAATTGGAACGGTGGAGTTAAGTAAAGACTTGGCACTTCACTCTGTGTTTTGTGTTCCAAAACTGGATTGTAACTTGTTATCTATCAGCAAATTGACTCAAAGTCATAATTATAGCACTAAATTTTTTAAAAATTTGTGTGAATTTCGGGATATGAATTCAGATAGTACAATTAACAGTAGTAAAAAGTGGTCGAATGTGTATTTCATTAAATATTACAACCTATATATAAGTTTTGTGGAATAGAAAAAAAAATGGATAACTATTTATATATGATATATTATCCTTTGACCTAATTTACATAAGATAAACCCTCTTCAATCCTCCCACTCAAGCAGGGAATATATATTGTTCATCCCCAACTTGCCAATGATACTCTAAAATTTCAGACATCTCAAGCTTTTAGTCAACACACCTGTTAGTTGTAAACTAGTAGATATGCATAAAGTATATATTAGGTCACTATCAAATTTCTTATTGATAAAATGTTTGTCGATCTCGATACACCTTATTCCTTCATGTTGTATTGAATTGTGCGCAATACTTATGACTGATTTGTTATCATATTATAAGCGTATAGTGGTCTCCCACTTGATTATTAAATTTTCTAAAATTCTTCTTATCTATAATAGAACACATCTTTTGGGTCATTACTCGAAATCTGATTGCACTTGATCTGGTAACTATATTTTTGCTTCTTACTCTAGGTAACTAGGTTACCCTCAATAAAAGTAGAGTAACTTGTGGCGAATCTTTTATCTACCATTGACATTGCATAATCTGCATCCAAATATGCTTCTAGAAGGGAGCTATGGTATCGACCACAAAGAGACATTGGCTCCAGAGGCAAGCTAAACATTGCCCATATTCTCCTGCCATTATCTGCAAATTTGGATAGACATCTCTTCCAGCTAGACGCAAAGAATCTATTTTTAAATGAAGACTTAGCTTAAAAAGTGTATATGAAGATCCCTCATGGATTTGTAATTCCATATATGAGATATTAAGTTTGCAAGTTAAAAAAGTTGTTTTATAGTCTTAAGCAATTCCTAGGAGCTTGGTTCGAGAGATTCACAAGAGTAATACAACAAAGATATTCCTAATGTCAAGCCAACCATACACTAGTTGTAAGAAATCAAACCACAGTAAGTTATCTATTCTAATAGTATATATTGATGATACAATTGTAACTGGAGTTTTTACTAAAGAATTGATTAATTTGAAGAAAACTTTAGCTAAGGAATTCAAGATTAAAGACATAGGAAATCTTAGGTACTTCCTAAGAATGAAGGTGGCAAGATCAAAAGAAGACATCTATGTGTCTCAGAGAAAATATATCATAGATTTGCTTATTGGGTGTGGATGTTGGGATGTAAACCAGCTGAGACCCCTACGTAAACCACCCACAAGTTGTGAATGTCTAGAAAAGGTACTCCAGTTCATAAAGGTCAGTACCAAAGATTGGTAGGTAAACCCATATACCTGTCACACATGTCCAGAAATTGGATTCTCTGTTAACGTTGTATGTCAATTGATGAATGATCTGCAAGAAGAACATACTGAAGCTGTTTATAGGATTCTGAGATACTTGAAATTACACATGGACAGGATTTATTCTTTACTAAGGCTCCTTAAGAAAAAATAGAAATTTACAGTGATGCAGATTGGGTGGGATATGTCAAAGACCAGAGATTAACACCTTGTTATTGTTCCTACGTATGGGGAAATTTGGCCACTTGAAAAAGCAAGAAACAGCCTGTGGTTCTTACAGGTAGTGCAAAAGCTAAATTCGCGCTATCGCCAGTGCAATCTGTACAGGTATTTGGATCAGAAGGTTACTCAAGTAACTAGGAATTAACCTAGAAGATCCTATGAAACTTTTTTGTGATAATCAATTCTGCTCTAAGTATTGCCAAGAATCCAATTCATCATGACAACCAAATATGTTGAGATTGATTGTCATTTCATCACCAAAAAAGTAGAAGGCAATGTTATCCAACTGCTCCAAACACCAAGGTCATAGGCTGCAAACATCCTGACCAAGTCCTTGCCTTAAAAAAATTTCAAAGACCTAAGTTGCAAGCTTAGGATGAATAACATTTTCAATCCAGCTTGAGGGAAAGTGTGAAAATATTCTCAACATTAATCTGGAAATATTCTCAGCATTAACGTTGAAATATTCTCAGCATTTAATTTTCTCTAGAAATATCTTCAGCTTTTAATTCTTAATTTGGTAAAAAAATCCACCTATTATTAGCTGTACCTTTTGTTATTAATAGTTGGATTTGACATTATCATATTTTATTTTTAATCTCTTATTCATTGTAAATTAATTGTCAAATCTTCCTCTAAAAAAAGTAATTAATTTTGAAGTACGTATATATTGGTCATCTTCAGCTATCCGAAATGCAGAAACAAATTTCGCCCTTTCAACAGTAATAACCACTGGAAATATTGAATATATTTTACAAGTCATTTTTATATCTAAGTATGCATCAGAAGTATCAGAAATAAGAAACACAAACCTTAAAAGGCAAGTAAGCAGATCTTTGAAGCCCTCCACTTCTGCTTGTATATCTAGAGGCATAGTTGAGGGGAATTTTCCTCTCGGCTTCCTGAAACCCTTTGTTAAGATAATTGTTGCCATTTCTTTGCTTCTACTAATACAAATTTAATTAGACGAAGTAAGCAGCCTTTACCTGAACATATACAATTCCGAGGACTAAGAGAAAGAATGAAACAATGATGGTGATAAGCCCAAGGTAGTTACCATCCTGGAAAGCTTGTGTCGCTGTCCGGCCAAAAGATGCTGGCAAGTAGGAGAGGATGTTGGTAAATATCAGTAAAGATGTGCCGTTTCCAAGTTTGAGATCAGATATCCTTTCCCCGATGTATGTTGTCAGAACTGAGCCAAGGGTCAATAAAATAATAGAGGAGAGAACCCATTGTGTACTTAAGTCATTAGCATATGGACGTAGGTAAAAAACTTGGCCAATAGCCTGCCAAGAGTAACAAAATTGTGTTTAACCGACTATTAGCAAACCTTAAAATGTAGAAGGACAGAATTCTGAGAGGAACATTGATATAGATTCAAGGATTTTTCTCAGCACAATGCTTTCTACCTATCATATTTACACATGCAATCACGTAAAACAACTTAGGAAATGATCTTTTCCTCATAGAAAACTATAACACTCTTGTAATCCATGTGAAACATAACTAAAAGGGCAAATTACTGTTTAACATCCCGTAGTTTGAGGTTTCCAGATTTGAAACATGTCATTTATATTTAACAGTTTCAACACTCACGATTTGACCAGTAGCCGCACAATATTATAACACTGTTAATTTAAACACTCTGTCTGCTTAAAACTTTTGACACATAAATGGCTTAAGTTAGACTTCATACAACTAGACATTAAAATTTTAAAATAATTTAAAAAATTAAAACTAAATTATGAACTTAAATTCAAAAAATTCTTAGAAAAAATTTAAACTTTAGTAAGTTTTGAGGAAGTTTATGTGTATGACAACTTTCGAACTTTTGTTTTTAGTTTTAGAAAGTCTAATATGATTTCTCCACTTGTCAAATTTTTTTAAAATTTAGATCGCGCATGTATTCAAACTAACAATATTATGTCATCTGGCAAACAACCAAACTAGAAGTACTGAAATAGATAAAAATAAACCACATATGTTGAATTTGAAAATTCGAAATAGCAAAAATTTTCGGTTATATAACGGGTTCAAAAACCACCCATTTCTTCCAAACCACAGAGTATCAAACTGTACTATGTGCTAACTAAGATGATATCTAATAACCGTGAACACCTACAGTTAGCTAAAATTTTTCTTGTCATAGAGAAAACTATATCACTCTTGTAACATACGTGAAAAATATCTGAAATAGCCGCTATTCAACATAATATCTCAAAACATCTAACAAAAATTTCCTCTTATATACAAACTACAGTGCTCTTGTGGACTAAGAGATGTAACTTTGGTGTTAGACAACTATACTTACAAGTCTATTAACAACCGTAAGCATGTTGATGTGTTGCTTTTGCAGTGGAAGAAAAGTAATATTGTGAGAAAACCCACTTAATCATTTGAGTTTCAATTAGCTTCTGCCAAGGATTTAAAATTAGTACAAGACGTGTACCATAAGTTCTTTTATTCTAACAATCCATGCTACAAACCAAAAATCTTGTATACTTGGCGCATAGCCATGATAGAATTTTATTTATTGTTTTAAGTATTTTTAGTTTATTATTTAAGAGCCTTATTAAAATTAAGAGTTTATTTTTGTATTATTATTTTCAATTTGTATTAGGATTTAACATTCTTAATTTTATTATATTACTATTTGCTAATTTAATTTTAATTAGAAAAAATTACTCAGAGACTTATAAATAACTTTGTATTTTCACATATTAATTATCCAAATTTAATAATAATTTTTTAGAATGTCTCATAATTGATTGTATGATTCAATCAACCCTTAGATGTGATGTCTAAGAATCCTATGTCTAATATCTAAATTTTTCTCCCAATTTCTTAATAGGCAAATTAACTCTAATTTGTCCTCCATCAAGTTAGTACCAAAGCTAAAAGTATCCTATACCAAGATTCTTAAAACCCTACATCTAAACAGTCCAAAACCCATTTGGAAAAAAAAAATCAAAAACCCCAAACCAACCGCCAGCACCATTCCCCAATCACTTGCTAGAGGTGGTCGGCATCACCACCACCACCAACTCCAAAAAGACTCAATCAACCAACCCATAGAGCCCTGCAAAATTCCATCGGAAACTGCCACACTCACCGGCCGAAGCTCCCACATCCGTTGCCTCTCGCAAATCCTCACTTCTACACCGACCTCAAATCTGAGTTCAGCACCTGTAATTGAGCTGCTTGCCAGATGCCTGCTGTTGTTTGGTAACCAAAAGGCAACTCATGAAGCCCACATCAGCCCAGCCATGAGCAAGCCTTGTGCATTCTATTCTGTGTTGGCTTCTGCGTCGTTGCTTTGGCTTCTCCGTCCTTCCTACCTCAACCAATTTTTTTGTTAAGAGACATTCAGTTTCAGTAATGATGACTAACACTGAATTAAATACTAAAGCTATTATATTTAGGCAAACACTAATACCATATTGGAAGTAATGAAGAACTCTCTCGAAGTAATCCAAGAAGCACTAACAAAGTCGTGCACAGCTCAAGTAGGTCTTCCAATTCAAAATCTTTATTTGGCTCAAGCAGCCATCCTGCTCAAAGACATGTTGAAGAAACGCTGGAGACATTACAAAGAAGGTGAAGGCCGACGCCTCTGATTTTGACAGAAGAAAGAATCCTGATTTTTTCTTGGTAAGCGTAATTCAATCGGAGAATAGTTCAACTGGTATGACATGTCAGATGCATGAAGAGTTCGATTTGCTAAGATGGAACTGGTTGGACTTGCAAAAATATGGTGGTACACTATTGATGAAAATATAATGAAAAAGAGGCAACCAACAATTGAAACACGGGATGAGATTAAAACTATTCTTCATCAAAAGCATCTACCTCCCAACTACTTTGACAAACTTCGTGACCAAACTTACACTTTAGTATAGGGCAACAATATTGGTAACTCAGTATATACTAGAGTTTGAAGAAATAAAAAATTCGTAGTCGATTAATCGAAGATAATAGTCAAGCAACATCTTGATTCAAGGCAAGACTAAGAGTTGATAGTAAATGAGAATCAATTCAACAACTTCCTATAACTATAGTATAAACTTATCAAGCTGCCTTAAGTATAGAAGATTACATGAAATATCTTCAAGAAACTTGAAACCCTCCCCCTAGTCCCCAAAGGAAGAACTTTGGAACAAATTATGATGTATGAGCAGGTTCTGCACAAAGAACTCTAGCTCAGAAAAAACCAGTTCTTGATATAAGAGGTAAAAAATAGTTTGCTTCAGGTGTAGGAGGCCAGACCATATTGGTTATCAATGCCCTCACAAAAATAATTTGTACATTGGAATGGAGGAAGAAAAAGAATAAGATAATACAACAGATAGGGATGATGATGTTTCCCTTGACAACGACGAGTATCAAAGTGGACGCTTCCCTTGTGTCTGTAGCCAGGCGTATCCTTGCAATATCTAAAGTTGAGGAAGAAGATTGACGTCATATTACTATATTCCAAACCCTTGTCAATTGTGGATCAAAAGCCAAAAAGCTTGTCATGGACGAGAGGAGTTGCATGAATGTAGTATCGACTTCAACTATAAAGCATCTCAGACTTCATACAAAACCACATCCACAACCTTACAAGGTGACATGGATTGATGACACAACAATTCCAATAACTCAACAATGTCTTCCCACTTTCAGATGTAGTAAGTACAAAGATGTCATCTTATGTGAGGTTGTTCCCATGCAAGTAACTCAGACTCTCCTTAGTCACAATTGATTATATGATTGCAAGGTACACCACAATAGAAGGTAAAATACATATTCCTTTTCCATAGGAAAAAAAAAAACATTCTCTTAAAACCTGTGAGCACAAAGGATATCAAAAATTTCAAAGAAAAGAAGACTACAAAAATTGCCAGACCTGATTAAAAGAAACAACTCCATTTTTTGTCAAGAAAGCCGTTTGAAGCAGAAAGTAAATAATCAAAAGTTATTTATGCCATAATAAGTCGGGAGGTAAGAGAACCAGTAGCTTGTTCAACAAAAACAACATCCTCATAAGTGACTAGGCTACTGTCTGATTTTTTTGATATTACTCCACTGTACTTGCCAATTGAACTTCCTCCACTTTGTAACATTCAACTTGCGATTGACTTAGTCCATGATCTCAATTGCCTAACTTACTAGCACACAATATAAGCTCAAGTGAACATGCTAAGCTTAAGCGACAAGTTGATGAATTACTGTCTAAAGGTATATATGAGAAAGATGGGACCTGGAGGATATGTGTTGATAGTCACATAATCAACAAAATCACCAAATCCACACAAGGCTAGGACATGATAGGAAAACAGCAAGCAACAAAATTAAACAAAAGATGGCTAGCATGAGTGGTTAGCCATGCCATTCGGACTGTCTAATGCCTCAAGTACCTTCATGCATTTCTTTTTTTTTTTTTTTGAAATAAACCTTCATGCATTTCATGAATCAAGTTTTTCAAGCTTTTAATAGGAGATTTCTTGTTGTCTACTTTGGTCATATTTTTATCTTCAGTAAGTCTAAGAAGGAACACATCTTTCACTTACAACAATTTTATGAGAGCACTCCACAAAGAAAAACTTCTATAGTAACATGAAAAAGTGTGCATTCATGACAACCAGTGTTGTGCACCTGGGATTTATCTTCTCCTCCAATAGAGTAAAAATTAATCAACAAAAGGTTAAAGCTCTCCAAGAATGGCCAGCTCCTAAGACCTTACATGAAGTGCTAAACTTCCATGGGTTGACATCTTTTCACAGAAAATCTTTTGAAGGTTTTAAAACTATAATCCCGCCAATTACAAACTGCATGAAGAATTGGGAAGTTGTTTTGGACCAGAACAGTGTCTAGAGCTTTTGAGATCATCAAGAAGAAATTGACATAAGACCACTTTTACGTCTTCTAGATTTCTGCAGGTATTTGAAATGGCTTGTAATGCGTCTCAAGTAAGTATGAGTGGCGTACTTAGTCATGAAGGACATCCAATAGTCTGTTTTAGTGAGAAACTTAATGATGCAAAACTAAGGTGTACCACATACCATAAAGGATTTTATGCAATCATCCAAGTACTTTGCTACTGGCGTTATTATCTATACAAGAAGGGTTTGTCCTTTATTCTGACCTCAAGAAGCTAAATCTTGTCATGCAGGCCACATTTTCTGATTTCAACTCGAAAGGGCCGAGTTCCCCCCACCCCAGGAAGAATTGATAGCGCATAAGCATGATAGAATTTTATTTATTGTTAGAGTACTTTTAGTTTATTATTTAAGAGTCTTATTAGAGTTAATACTTATTTTTATTAGTATTATTTTCTATTTGTATTAGAATTAGTATTCTTAATTCTATTAAATTACTATTTACTAGTTTAGTTCTAATTAGAAAAAATTATTTCGAGATTATTATAAATAGCATTGTTATTTCACTTATTAATCATTCAAGTATTAAATAATAATTTTTTGAGAATTTCTCATAATTGATTGCGGATTCAGTCATACCTTAGGTATGATGACTAAGAATCCTACGTATAAATCTAAATTTTTTCCTTAATTTCTTAGTAGCCAAATTAACCCTAATTTGTCCTACATCAATATTAATCCCAAACAAACACAAATAAGATACAAAAAATAAATTGTTCAAAGCATCTTAACAAGGTATTTAACCAGCAGAGACGAATAGAGAGTCTGTTAACCTGCACTACTGCGAACCCAACCGAAGCATATCTAGTATACTCAAGAACTTTTTTCCTTCCTGCTTCACCTTCTCTTTTCTGAAGCTCTTGCAACTTGGGATAAACCTGAGTAAGAAGCTGAAACACAATCTGTGCATTGATGAAAGGAACAATTCCAAGGGAACATATTCCAAGTCTACCAATACCTCCCCCAGAAAAGGAATCCAAAGTACTCAATAAGCTGTTCTGATCCAAATTGCCAACAAAAGCTTCTCGATTAACACCACCAAGAGGTACATAGATCCCAAGTCGTGACAAGGCTAAATATCCCAGAAGCTTCAGAAATTTCCCGGGTAGCGGGCCTTTGAAGAAGTCACCAAAGTCGATGGAACTGTCCTCAATAGCAGCTGTCAAAGGAAAAGCATATTCATCAGGAGCTGTGTTAATCTACTCCTACTTAATATTGTAAGGATCATATTCAAAAAGCCAAGAAATAAACCTGCCACCCCTCTAGCAGAAGAAGACTTGTCTTTGGCACTCGAGGCACTCCCAAATGCCGGTGATAACAAGCTTAACAAGGTTTCCCAAGCACCAGCTAGAGTAGAAGATACCTCTGGATTGATACCCAAGGGATCAAAGACTGAGAGCTCCTCATATCTGCCAGGAAGTTCCACAGAAAGAATTAACGTAATAAACTACAATATAACAACATTGAATTTCAGAAGATTCCATTATCCCCAGTGATAAAAACCCACAAAATCACTAGGAACTTAGGAGCTAGAGAATAACAACTTGTTAATTGCCAATTAGTTTCAATTTCTTAGAATTCCTATATTTCAGTCTATATTTGTGGGATGAGTATCTATAAAGAGCAATAGGTTGTAATTGTGAGATCATATAAGAAAAATGAATGAAATCTAAAATAATTTCTCAGCAAATTCCTCTGCAATTTCTGCCACTCTTCTTCAAATATTCCCTTGTTTTCTTATTTCTCCTCAATCAGGACCTAGAGTTCCGATAACTGGCACTAGAGTGAGAGCTTTTCTTCTCTTCCTTTGTATTTGCTCTCCTGTCGGATTGAAAGCTCTCTTCTCTCCCTTCTTTTATTCAATTCTATTTTCTCTAACGTCAACTCCTCCCCTTATTGAAATATCTTTTTCTATTCAACCAAACAACATAGTCAACTGTCAAATCCTCCAAATACCGGAAGCAATTTGTGCGTTTAGATCAGAAATTGCAAATTTACACCACGATGATGCAAAATCTAAGAGTCCTTAATGAGATTTTTTTTCTTTTTTGAAATAACAAGTATCATTAAGTATATGCACCAAGGGGATGCAAACCCATCTACAGAATTATTTACAAGTCAATAAGGATATCAATAAATTTTTCTAAATCTTTCATGCAATATAAAAGTTGACCCATAACCAAAAACCAAGGATCCAAAACTCTCTCTCTCAAATTCTGTCAATACCCTCTTCTACCCCTTCAAAAATTCTTTTGTTTCTTTCTTCCACACAACCCAAATGTTGGCAGTGGAATAAGCCCCAACTGTATTTTCCACTCAACCAATCCCTTACAAGCTCATAATTCATCCTTCCAGCAACAACCCAATTAACACCAAGCAATCCATATGTAATTGACCACAAAGTAGCAAATGGTTGCAGGTCTCCTCCGCCCTCTTGCATAGACAGCACCAGTTCTCCATAATCTTTCCCCTCCTTTTTAGCTTATCAATAGTCAAAATGCACTTCCGACCTGCTTCCCATGCAAAGAAAGCTACCATGGGGGGGTTTTCATCTTCCGGATCTGTTTGTAAGGGAAACTGCCCTCCATGGACTCTTTCTTAGCCAATTACCTGTAGAAAGACCTGACAGTGAATTGCCCAGAAGTGTTGAGTGTCCAAACCAATTGGTCATAATCCTCATTCAATGAAACCGACTCCAGCATACTCAACAGAATTCTACGTTCCCTGCTTCCTTCACCATCACCAAAATCCTCTTTAACAGATACGTCTTTATATCAAGCAATAGCACAAATTTGTGGGAACCTGACTCTTAACACTCCACCTTCTAGCCAACAATCTGACCAGAAACCAACTCCTAAAATTTGCCTTTTGCCATATGCAATCTTTTCCACATCCCTCTACCATGCAATCTCACCAACACTCTGGAATACAATCCTCGATCCATCGTGCCATACTTCATCCCCAGGACTCTCCTCCAAAGCACATCTCTCTCCTCCATGGATCGCCACACCCACTTCCCTTAAAGCGCCTTGTTCATCTCCATCGTAGATTTGAAACCCAAACCTCCTCATTTATTTATCTCCTTATCACATCCCATGCCACCAAGTGGTATCTATTCTTCTCCTCTGAGTCACCCCAAAGGAACTTGTATTTAATGGCTTCTAGTTTCTTAACAATGCTTGCTGACATTATTACAAGTGACATGTAGTAAGCAGGAAGATTTGATAAACTGCTTCTAATGAGAATAAATCGTCCTCCCTCAGATAGCAAACTACTCTTCCACCCTTATAGCCTCTTCTCAGATTTTGTAACAATTTGTTCTCACGTCTTCACATCTTTATACATAGTATCCAGGGGCATGCCCAAGTACTTAATCAGTAACTTCACCACCTTACAACCTAAAAAATTTTGCTAACCGACTAGTGTCATTTCCATCACCCAACCAAACCATCTCAGACTTTATGAGAAAACTATTCAAGTCGGAGACAGCTTGAAAACACAATAGAACATATCTTAGGTTGAGAAGAGAATTCACATCCAGTTGACAACCCAATTACAAGTTGACTGGAAAATCTAGCAGGATAATGGAAATGGTAGGATCCCTGAATCGAGATTCTTTATCGTCATCTTTTGTATACTCATTTTCAATTGACTCAAAAGAACATTTCACCAGAGGCAAGTAATCATCGATTCAGCTCACTTCAATGGGAATACCAACAAGATCATATATTTGGGCGAGTACCATATTTAACCCCTATCAAATATCAGGAACTAGTCTAGCTACAATTGTTGAAGACTTTGTCACAGAAGACAAATATAAAACAAGTTTCTTCACGGCAGCTGATGTTTGGGACGAGAATATGCAACTAATTGTGTAGCTCCTCTCTGCGAGCCATGCTTGTTTAAGTAAGAGCATTGGTTATGTTAGCATTAAAGACTTGGATAATATATAAAATCACTTCATTTTATCCTTGAGAACAAGGATAGTTTTCTAGAGGAGAGCAACGTCAGGAGCTACAAATTACAGAATTTTCAATTTGTTAGTATTCCTGTATTTTAGCATATGTTAGCGGGACGGGTAATCTATAAACGGGCAGTAGGTTGTAATTGTGAGATCATCCAAGAAAAATGAATTAAAATCTAATTTCTCCGCAAATTTCCCAGCAAATTTTCAACTCTTCTTCAAATCATCCCCTATTTCCTAATTCCTTCTCAGTCAGTATCCAGCTCTGGCTTAGTGATTAAGAATGTAGGTCATAAATTGGAGACAAGACAATCACTTTAAAGTAATGCAAAGTTATGGCTTAGTTATTAAGAATGTAGGTCATAATTCGGAGACAAGTCAATCAGTTTAAAGTAATGCAAATGCTAGTTAAGCAAGACGAGAGGAAATATGCCGGTGAGGGAGAACACAACCCACATTCATAAAACAGATTCCGTATGAGAAACTTCAAGATGAGAGGAAAAATGGGAATTTGAGAGGTAGCAGAAAGAGAACGGAGAGAACGGCAAAAAGTGTATGTGAGACAACAAAAAAAAAAAAAAAAAAAAAAAAAAAACCTGGTAGAAGTAGAAAGAAGGCGGAGGTTCCATGATTTGGCGCCGGCGTTGGTGCTTCTAGATGTTTTCTGGACAGCAAAGCTGGCTCTGCAGAGTGAGTTTACGAGTCCAGAAGAGGGTTTTGGATTAGAGTGAGAGCGGGCGAAGGAAAGAGGTGAAGAAGAAAAAGCTTCAGCGACCGTTATCAACATTATCGCTCTCCCACTTTTGGTCGGTCGTTGCTCTCTTTAGATCATCAACTCTTCTTTTCTTTCATCTGACTTACTTGGATGGACTCGCATTCTAATCCTTTTCTTTTCGTAGCCCAGCAGGATCTCGGCCCATATCCGAATAATGGGCCGAGCATAATTCGGTCCAAAAGCACAAAATGAGTAGGTAATATAATAATGCCGAGTTAAGCCCAGTAAAAAAAAAAAAAAAAATGGGTTCGTTTTGAGTTTCGACTCTTACCTGTGTTTGTTGGGGGGACATCATTAGAATTCCCTCATTGCATTTCTGATTTCTAAGCTAAAGAATATAAAATATGCTTTTTTTTATGTTTCTAGTCATGCATTTTGTCCTAATTCCCAAAAGCTCTATATCTAATCACCAATTGATTATCATACCCTCTTTGGAAAACCTTAAAAAAAGAAGGTTTTGTTGAGACCATCCCACTTTTATGATTTATGTGTACGTATAATATAATAAGAGATGCATTATTCTCACACCTTTTCAAGATCATAATATATAAATATGTAAGAGCACCCACTATCCTTTTATTTTATTTTTTTTTAATTTTAACAAGTCTTTAAGAGTAAAGCGGGAGTAATACCAGGGGATGACGGATCATGTTGGTTCATTATTTTCAAATTGCAACATTAGTATATAATAATTCCTAAAAGTTGGAGATTGGGTGTGTGGATTTAATTTAATTAATTTTTGATAGGTCAAGTACGTATGGTGCAGCATGTGCACCTAATCAGGAAGACTGTGATGATAGATGTGCCCCTCCCCCCTCCCCCCCACCCAACACTAAAGTTTTTTTTTTTTATGAAAAGCTGAAACGGAGCAATCTCAATAATTTTCAAGCGAGATGAGAGGGAACAGGCGAGCATGGTGATCAAAAAGCCTGCATGTCTTGTGCTCATTTACTAACTCCCCTTTTAATTAATTTCATTTTTTTCTACTTCTTAATCATAATAATACTTTATGCTAATTTGAAAAATTAATTTTAATTAAAGTTTGATGTCAGCCTCTGCTTTTTGTGGTGTTAGGTGGTAAGAAAAGTTGATGCCTTGAGTAATCAATCTTTTCCAAGACAACATTTTTTTTTTTATGGATAATTATGTAGGTGTACCCAAATCATTTCATTTCATTTATAATCAAATACACATCCCATTTAATTATAATTTCTAAGAATTCAACATTCTAATTATTTATCATTAATAAAAATTAAAAAAAAAAATACACGAAATCTCTAAATATTTGGGTTTTAACTTCTTCAATCAATACACACACACACACACACATATATATATATATATATTAATTATTATATGGAAGCTTCAGAAAGAAACAACTGGGGAATCCCAATTCCTTTCAATTCATATAATAACTAGTAGATACTTTTTAATTAAGAAATCAAAGATCCTTTTTTGAGTTGTTATGATATCAAATTCAAGAACCCACCATTCCATAATATCATCATGAGATCAGTAATCGCAGAGAATATATACACAGATGATTATAATCAAATAATGAAAAGGACAATTTAGCAGGTTGTGATGACAAATATATATCATTTTGGAATCTTTCGATTAATATATTTTTTAATTAATTACTAGTATATGTGCATATATATAAATATATATAGTGAATGTAACTATATTAAATAATTAAAATATAAAAATTAAATTAAATTTTGTTTAATCAAATCCAGATCTAAACTACCCAAAAAAAAAAAAAAAAAAAAATTAGGTTGGGTTTGAAAAAGCATGGTAGCAAATTTGAGCACCGGCCTAACCGCACCGCACCGTTTTAAGCCATCCAAATTTCACAAAAGTAGTTGACCCGTCTTCTCACATCTAGCCGCCGACGCATCTTTTATTTACTACACCACTTTCTTTATTTAATGCTTTTATATTAAAATAAAAACAAACATTATATATATATATATATACTTGTGTGTGTGTGTGTATATATATATATATGTGTGTGGCAAAACTTAAACTAGCAACATATGTTCGTGAAAGCGTAACTTTGAAGCATCCACATATACCCACATATATATATATATATATCATTAGCCTTGGAGCACTTTTTTTTATGTTCCTAACATTTGGGCAGCTACAAAAGTTCAAATTCAACACCATATATATTGATTATAATAACATAATTAACATTTTTATATTTATAATAAAACAGTTTTTAGCTATAAATTATTGGAATTGTTCCTCCTCTCACTATAAGGAGATAAGTTCACCCAAAAAAAAATTATTTTATATAATGTTTGCAGTACAGATTTGATTATAAAAACATTATATTATATTATATTATTATTTGAAGAAGAAGATGGTGATAATGGGCGTAACTTTTTAGCATGCATAGAAACAATTTCCTAAAGGATACGGTAAGCATTATGTGATGTAATGGACCACATGGATGGTTTTGTTTTATTAGCTTGGAATAAATTTTTAATTAATTACTTTTATAAAAATCTTACGGAGTACCATTAAGTATGATATAATATATATATATATATACATACGTATAATGTATGTATGTAATACATACGCACACAGAGACCCATATAATATATATATATATATATATAGATATACACCGGGAGAACCCAAAAGAAAAGGGAGGAGGAGTGGTTGAGTTTTTGTTTTCATTCTAAAAAGGCAGGCAAGTGATATAAGCAGTACGCGACAAAGGCATAAAGGTGTAAAGGTGCTTGCAGAAATTAATTATTTTAATTTTAATATTTCTTTTTTCTTCTTCAGATCAGGACAAAATTAATAAGTAATTATTATATTAATTTTATTTTTTATGTTTAAAATTTATATCAAAATTATAATATTATATAATATTACACGTAGAATGTTTCTTGTTTTACTTTTATATAGATAATAAATTTATGTTATGTGAAATTATAATAATTAGAATAACAAAATTAAAAATAAAAAAAACAGTGTCTAATTAAATAAACTGTTTTTTGATTAAAAAAAAAAAACCGTGTTGTCTCTCTAATTTTGTTTAATTTGGATTAAATTGGATTTTTTAATTATTAATTAATTGGATATATACCTAATCTTACCGGGATAGTTTAATTAATTTTAAACTAATTAAAATTCAAAACACACAATAAGGAAAAACTTCACGAGTTTGGCCAAAAAGATATATGTTAATATATTATTAATTATATATACAAGTAATATATACACCACACATCAATATTGGGTTTTACATGCCTACCAAAATCATTTAGTTGCTCTAAATTAGCACATTGAGTTCCGGTTAGGTTGTCAAATACATACATATATATATACACACAACGTAGATCATTAAATATAATTTATCACCTAAATGATCATTTAACAAACAATGTGTGTTTAATGGGTATAATTATATATTTTAAAAAATGATAGATTTTATAAATTTAATTAAATTTTATTATAAATTTATAAAAGTAAAATATGAAATATAACAATAATATTTATAATTCTTAAACTAACTAATATTATCAATATATATTATTATTTTTGTTTATTTAAGGAATTAATCAGTCTCTTGTTAAATAAGTCGGATATGGTGATAAAGTTTGCAAGCACCTACATATAATTAACCTTCTCTTATGCTTACCCATATATACATATATATATACACACACACACACACACACACACACGTACAGACACAGTACTAATTTTCCATACACACATGAAGAAAAAATGATAACAACGACTCGTGTCCCTTGTTATATATCCGTGAAGCCATCTCTAGCTACTATAGATTCTTATCTATAATCTTTGAAAAAAAAAAAAAAAAGATTCTTATCTATAATAACAGTATGCATGTAGACGGAAATATGTATGTATATATATATATATATATATCAAAATTCTTCATTATTAAATAAGAAATATATATATCTTTATCACCCAACACGAGATTACTTATCCCTTTCGCGTCCACGTACATGATAAAAACTCCATGTCTATCCATAATTAACTGTGTGACCGTGGATTAAACCATTAAACCCAAAACCAATACACTCAACCAATTATTGCATATATTGTGTGTGTGTGTGTGTATGTATATATATATATATATATATATAACTATACATATAATTGAATGTAAAATGGAAGAAGGTTGCGTATTGGGTTGGAATAAAAGGATATATTCCTAATTAGGGAAATTCAAATTATAAATGAAACCACATGCATGGCCGGAGCCTTCATTTACTAGGAGCAATTTATTTAATGCAACATCATGTCATTATATAATTCTGTATGTACCCATAAAAAAAAAATATTTTGTTCACATAATAATATAAAATAGAAAATTATTAAATGGGAGAAGAGTGAAAAGAGTAATATAATAATTTTATTTTATTTTTTAAAAAAAAAAAGAAAAGAAAAGAACACATGGAAGGTTGGGAGGGAGTAAATAATGACAAGTAGTAATGAATTATTTGAATGCAATATGTCTTCGTCTGCATCATAAAGAGAGAATGTGTTACATTTAATTTTGTTTTATGTGGGGTTAAGATTTTGGATTTTAGCCAAGGTTAATAATATCAGTTTTTATGAATTGAGATTAAATTTATTTTCTGGGTTTATTTTAAAATAAATTATTAAAAAATTACATTAATGAGCAGATTTCCATTTCTAATTACTCATAAACCCTAGATAGCAACTGCTCTCCTCTTGTGGTCCAAACTCAATTATTCTTAATACATAAAAACATTGATTAGAGAGTTAAATTGTCTCATTTGTGCTTTACCCAAACAAAAAATATATATATATGATTAATTACATTCATACTTTCAATTTATTTACTTTTTTATTTTTTTTTTTAAATTTTCTAATTACCACGTAATTACATTTAATTACTTTCAATTTAGTTAAATTCTCTCATTTAATTAAAGGTCATCGGGGTCCAGACGCGTCGCACGTGATGCAACCCTCTTCCTTGATTCTTATTATCTTATATTTTAAGCTTTTCCTTTACAACAAAAATTTCATTTTTTTGGACCCTCTAAAACTTATACTACCGAACCCCACATACATATAATTATATATGTCCTCAAGACAAATTTTTTTTTTTTTTTTTTCCCATCTTAATTATTTAATATATATATATATATAAATTAATTTTTCTTATAAAATGGGGTGAAATTAAAATTCAAAGAAGAAATGGAGGAGGGGGGGGAGGTAAGAAGAGGAATGCCTCAATTTTATTAATCACCTTCCCATGTAATTAATAAAATATCTATGGTAGAATATAATACTATAGACTCTTTTAGCAAAAAAGAAATTAAATAATTTGACCCAAAAATTAAAAGTAAGAAAAAAAAGGGTGGGGAGGAAGGAGTAGAGAGAGTTGATAAATTGTCGATTCAGGCAGGCCATAAAAGTTACCGTTAAATCTATCAACGTCTCTCTTACTTCCAACTGTCTTCTTTCTTTTTTTTTTTTTTTTTTTTTTTTTAATACTTTTACTCTTTACCTTTTACCTTTCTTTAATGGTAGTTTTCACTCCCCGCCAAAAAGCATTCGAGACCATATTTACATCTCTATCCAACACAACTGAGTAATATCCCAATTGCATCCCCTCTTTCTCTTCCTCACCTTGGAGCTAGCTACTGCTATTCCACCCTACAGACCAACCACCACTTTGATACTACCGGGCAGCAAATCTCCAGAGTTCCTATTTTCAGAATCATTGTCGGGTTCAAGCCGAGCAATTATACACTCATCTGGGATTCTTGCGGGTATCGATAATTTAAGCTGGTGAAAGCTTGGACCCACTACTTTCTCCATCCACTCCTCTAAGCTTGTTCTCCCTACCCACACGCCGCCTGCAATTTTCTCAAGAGCATCATCATCTATTTCCATTGATGGCCGGTCACCTATGATGATGGTGAATCTTTTTGTTATGGTGTTTGCTACGTTTTGTTTAATGGGACCAAAATCCACTGGCTTGAATGCGATAGCATCATCGACAGAACCTAGGAACTCGCGGGATACAGACGAACTTGCATGGGATAATAGCCTGTTATTGAGCCCATGTTCCTCTTCGTGCTCAATTGTGAGATCGCTTGAGTTTCGTGATCCGTCTGCTTTATCATACTCTGTATCAGCAGCTTCATTGAGATCGAATGATAACCCCAATCCATTCTCCTTCCTAGGCTTGTTTGCTCTGTCTTCATCGTGTAGCCAATTGGCACGACGTTTTGCAGTTTTCTCCCGAAGGGATAGTCTCAATTGCCAACCTCCACTCACTACACTGCCAAGTTTCTTCTCATCAAGTGGAATGCCATTAGATTGTAATTTCATATCATCTGGCATCCAGTCTGCTGTCAAAATGAATATAACATTCCCAAGACTGATCTCACGGCCATGGGAATCAGTGAGTCGACCTCTCTCCATTGCTCGTTTTATGTTCCCACGAAGTAGCATGTTTGCTTCGTCAATGTCCTCAAGCATGATTACAGAAAAGGGGTTTCTCCTAACAGCCTCTGCGATTCTATCCAATGCTGTTTTACCACGAAAACCCAAATCAGATTCCTCGTCGTCTCGCTTCGAGCCAAGACTGATAATTGTTGGATTTGCCCCACATACCAGCTCTGATAAAGCGGATGCCATCTTCTTCTTGCCAACCCTGTCGGGACCCATAAACAATATCCAAATATCACCCTTGGATGCAGCACCCCGCCTTTTTCCATTCCCCAATCTGCATTGAGTCACCATAGCAGCCACTGCAGATGCTGCATCCTGCTGCCATGAGACCTTCTCAGACAGACCTTTGAGTAGCCTCTTATAGGAGTCAGCATCTAATAAGCATGCAGCTTTCTCACTCGGTAAAACATCAAATTTATTTTGTGTTTCAGAAGGGATGCAGCCTAAGAAGTCCTTAACCCGCTCTTTATGGATTTTCTCAGGGGTGGATTCAACGACCTTTGGTCGCCCTAGAACCAAGTCTGTTCTCACAGGGCTTCCTGGTGGGGTACTGACCTTTTCTGTTGGTTGGCAGGTTAACAGGTTCGAGTTTAATTGTAGCGTGGCACCAAGGTTTTTATTCAGCTGGGATTTTGGTTGGAAAGGTTGGCGTGGAACCAGATTTGGGTTATACGAGTTTGTCATTGACAGAACCGTAGGAGAAGCTCTATTAGAGGCAAGACTTGGTTGATGATGACTAGGATGAAGATGCAGGCACGTCTCGTTCCATTTCTTCTGTAATTCTTGGGTCTTCTGCTTCCACATCAGTTCTTGATCCTTATGATTAAATTCACAACAAAAGCATTCATCAGTTAAGTGCAATTATGTGGAATAAGCGCCATAAAAGCAGACTAGCCAGCACTTACCGGTGTCTGATCAACTGTCTTGACATCCCCGTTGTTGGCTTTGGCACTTTGCAACCACTGAGGCAGCTGTGACCGACCTGCATCTGATTTGGGTTCCGAAGAAGATCTCTCAAATTCCTTTGATGCAAATTTAGCCAGTTCTTGTTCGTAATTTGCATGCACTGTGAGCAACAGCTCATTCGTCGAGATGGATCCACGTTCTCAGAGACACGTCTAGATGGAGCAGTTGCTACACTTGGAAAGTTTTTCAATGGTGACAGTGACTCGACTGAGCTGCTTAGTATCCCACTTCCAATTCTGATAAACAAAAAGCAACTCAATGAACGGATTATATCATAATAACAATACGTTACAATCTTCGTTAACCGTTTTCCATCTTGCTTAATTGTTTAACTTACTAGAAGCGAGCTTCTTATTACTAAAAAGTCTGATCAAACCTATAAACACCATCTCTGGGTCATAGTGAATGGGGGGAAAGGTGTAAGATTCTATTTCCATTAATCATCCATTCTCAATTGGAGCATTATATCACAAGCCTCATAAAAGGAACGACCTTTTCCAGGCATAAAATTTCAAAGACTGGATGTCAAAGAATCCATAAAGAGCCATTCTTTATACTAGTATCAACAAAAGGTGCACTCTATCCAAACCACCTTATTCTTCTGCTAAAAAGTCACATTACACCAGTAAAATGAATTCAAGAAAACCCAGAAGAAAATTTACTACGATATTTAAGAAATTATAGCTTTGGTAGGATCAACGGATAGCAATAAACACACCTAGGAAACATTCCCGGCTGAGGCGCTCTGGGCGCAATTGGAACTGCCTGAAGATCCCAATCGTTTTCCATTGATGGATGATAAACTTGACATCTCAGATAAGTCTCACAAGTAGCAGTTCCGATCAACCAAAGCCTCCCACCACCACCACCACCACCATCTCCAAACCTTACTAGCAGCTTCCCCATTTCCGTCACGGCCGCCCGCCCTGTATCAGATAAGACCTGTTGGTGGTTTTGCTGCAAACCACCACAACCCGCTACTCCAAAGCTCACCTGCTGTTCAACAAGCCACTTCAAATCGCCCAAATAAAGAATCGCCCCTCCACAGTCCGATTTCCCTATCCGGCTCTCTAACGAACTCTCCAATTCCTTAATCTTCGCCATCATTTGCGTCCTATCTGGGGAAAGCTCCTTCTCCAAGTGGATTACCTGCACATTCTTTAACGGCCCATCTCCTAATTCCTTGCTCTCAATTTTCCTTAATATCTCCTTCATCACAAGCTCTGGCTCTGAATCACCCACCAGAACAGGATTCCTCTTTTTCGTCCTTTGTAGGATATCGATTACTCGCTTGACTTCTTCGCTCCTCTGCTGTCCAATTTGTGCAGCGCCACCTTGCTGCAACCGGGGATTGATATACAAATTCCGATTCGCAGGCGGGGGAACTGAGCGGAATCCTAATCCAATTGGAGAGGAGTTGGCGGATGCAGCATTGGAAGTGCTCAAGGACTGTTCAATGGTGGCCTTAACCGCGGGGCTTGAGAAGCTGGCCTCGCGCATGACCCGACTGACACTTGGGTCATCGAGTATGGATATAATAAGCTGTTCGAGCTCAACCTTGACGGCCAAGAGGGGCTGCTGCTGCTGTTCTGGACAGCCGCGACGCTGGTGAGCCTGAGCGCGCTTGAGGGCAGCCATCAGGGCGTTGGAGATAGGGGGGTCGAGGCCAGGGCTGGTGTTCTGTGCGGTGGGGAGGCGCTCAAGGGCGACGCTGAAGCAGAGCTCGAGAGCTCTGCACTGCAAGGGATGTGATGAATTGGGGTGCGATTTGATGCATGCCTGACGAAGAAAACCTGTGGGAGAAGCAAGGAGGGTGGCGGCCACGTGCAAGGGCGTGGTCTGGCCATGGTTGCGGCGCCCTGCTTCGGCTATAGAATGATTAAGGACGCTGGCGGCCTCGGGCGTAAGGGTCTGCTGGATCGTACTCAAACCTGCTCTCATCTCCCACGCCACGAAACAACGATTACGGTTCCGGAGTTGATAGTAAATCTAGGTTGTCCCTTGAAATGAATTGTTTTGTTGAGTTTTGTGGAATTGCGTGTTGTGTTTTATCTGGGAAAAACGAATGAGGAGGAGAGAAAGCGAAAGGAAATGGGAGAAGTTGGGGGTGTGTGAAGGGTTTCAAAATGGACAAAGTCACATTTTCAAGGGTGAAGAAAAGAAGAGTTAAAATAAAAAAAAAAAAAAAAAAAAAGGTTCCTTTACAGACACAAACAAAAAATCAACAAACTAGCTTCCTTGTGGGATCTCTCTCTTCTCTTCTCTTTGCTTTTACTTTCTTGGTTTCTTTCTCTAACCTCTCAACTTTGAGTGACGCTAAAAGGTAATAAGAGAATTCAAAGCGAAAAGGAAAGATCAGAACGCCTCCTTCACAAGAACCTCCTCATTTCTCTTCCTCCTCCTTTTTACTTCCCTCCCCACCCACCTCCTCTCTCCCTCTCTCTATCCCTATCTGTCTCCCTCACTAACAGAAATATCCACAATCAAACTCAAACCGACCAACAAGGGGAAACCCATTAGTAATTGATTAAAAAGAGCAAAACTTGGCTCGACTCATCTCCGACCCAGATGAAGAAAGAGAGAGGAATAAAGAATATGAAAAACAGAGTTGAAGTAAAATTAGTTACAAGTATCCAGTGGAGTGGTGGCAAATGAAAATGTTTGTTCGTTTGTTTTTTGTTTTTTTATCGGGGAACGAAGTGAAGAGAAAAGAAAGAGAGAATTTATGGAAAATAGAGAGTTGCAAGTACTAGAGGTTTGCAAGGATTTCTGGAAAATACTCTCTGGACAGGGCAATCTGCTCTCCTTTTTGTGTGTCCTCCCCCTCCCGTTTGCCTCTTTTTTAATATTTCTTTACAAATAATATTAATTTATTCATTTTATATACGAACACTCTTTGTCTCTTTATATTAGAGATAATGGAGTGAGAGAAACACCTTTTTTAGAGAGAGAAAACTTGCAGTAAGATCTCACACACCTTCTCCCTCTCTAGACCGTCAATTGACTGGCTTTCTTTTTTTTTTTTTTTTTAATCTTTCACTCTCCCTTTTGTTTTTGTTTTTTGAAGTTCTGCTTTTCCTAAGACTCGTAAAATCTTAACCTCCGACACGCACCACTTCCTCGCGTGGAATTCTCTCCCCAGTTGAATCCCGAGAGGTTGTCCCTCACGCGCGTTCCTGTTACGTGGCATTTGCGGAGAAGAAGAATATAAGAAGAGAAGGATTTGCCTTTCAACCAATTTTCTGCTTTTCACACGCAATCGCTGCAAAGCCATCGCACGACTTTTTACCTTTTCATACTTACTCTCTCTTACTTTTTTTTTTTTTTTTCCAAAAATTAATTTCCATAAATATTCGAATTATTAATAAATCGTACGTAATTTTAAAATTATTTTCTAACCAACAAAAAAAATATATATATATACATACATACATACAGAGAGAGAGAGAAATAATTGCTTCGTTAGAAGTCTGAAATGATGGTAAATACCAAAAGGGTTTTCAATATTCGTGTACTTTAAGCCACAAATTCAAAGAACTTGGGCTGCCATAATTTTCCCCAATGAAAACGTGTTTTTGATTCTTTATGATTACTGTGTTTTAATTTACTTTTTGAAATGGCAATGATTATACCATAAGCTAACCCACTAATTATCATCAATTTAATTAATCATCTATGTATAAGCATGCGATTGCTTTTTACACAACACTAATTACTTTCTTTCATTGTCCACGTGTCCCATCCACGTTACCTAAGTGTAAAAAAATAATAATAATAAAACACCCTTTTGCCATTTTCTCTATCTCAAAATTGAAATCATTGAACATAAATAAGGTTATATATTTCTAAAATTTTCAAATGTATTAATTAGTCAACACCTAATTAATATAATTAGACGTATTAACTAGTTATCAAAATTGGATTGGCCTAACTTAATGTAACCCACGTTAGATATGATAAAATATTACTAAATAAATTTTAAAAAAAGTCAAAATTAAGTTACAAAATCTTATTCTTATTAGTTACTAATCACACACTCGGTACTTTTTATTTTATTTTTCAAACAAAAAAAAAATTAACAATTCAATAATTTGGATTATATGGGCAGACATTAAATGCGAGAGAAAAAAAAAATCTGAAACGTTACAAAGTGGTAAACACCATCACATGTTGCACCGCCCGATTAAAGCATTTAATTTTTGTTACAAAACTTAAACCGAAGTGGGAGATGATGCGGGGAGGAGGATACATTTTATCAGTCCTCATCTTTTGATTTTTAATTTCTCATAAATGACTCCTGGGTTAAAATGAAAAGCTGCTCCCCTCCCCTTTTGAAACATGTGACATAAATCCCAAATAAATTAACAAAAATATAAATTCCACCTAGTACATATTATTATTATTTTATTTTTATTTTTTTTAAAAAATAATAATAAATTTGAATTGGGTATTATATTGATTAGTATATGAATTATGTAATTATTATTATTATTTTATTTTTAAATAAAATATAAAATTCATTAACCCACTTAAATGAAAATGATGGGTGAAGTGAAAATGCAAATGTATTAGTAATGGAAAACCAAATCATTCACGCATTCTTCAGAAGAAAAAAAATTTAAAAAAAAAACCTTAAAAAATAAATACATGGTAATCAATACTAAGATCATTGTCATTATACTAAAAAAAAAAAGTACATATAAATCAACAGATGTAACATGTATACGTATATGTATATGTAAATGTAAATAGTAGAGTTAATAATTACTCCAAAAAAAATCCAAACCCATGATGTTTGCAATTAATTAAAGTAAAGAAGCAATGGCTAAAATTAAGACACAACTATCTGATTCTAAACATGATATGACGATGGATGGATGTCTTACTTTTTACTCTCGACATATATATATATATACACACACACACACAATGTGTATGTATATATGTAGGAGAGCTTTTTGGGATTCCTTAGCTAGCTTTATAGAACAAGTCCATCTGAAAAAACAAAAACAAAAAAAAAAAATATATATATATATATATATAAATGTTGGAGTAAGGGAACAAAAACCATCATCATATTCCCTTTTGGTAACGCACGCCCTCCCTTCCCTTTTACGCGTCTTTCGAGTTCTCTTTTCTTTTTTTCTTAACTACTACAGCTACTCCCCCCTTTCTACACTCACCTTTTTTCCCCCATACTCTACTCTCACTCGCCATCAGTCAACGCTCCTCCCCCACGCGCCATGAATTATTGACGATAAATTGAACTTGAACTTGTCGTTTTGGGAGAAAAGCTGACGCGTGTTTACTTACTTCCTTCTCTCCTTTTCCGCCCCCCGATAAAAAAGTTAAAAGTTTGAAAATAGCGAGAGAGGAGATTCAGCTTTCTGCATTTATTACCCTTCACGTATGTTCAGAGGAAAACTATATTCTTGTCTTGATAAAATGATTGTTTGGTCCCTGGTCGCTACTTGAATTTTCAATATTGCCATCGAGGAAAACGACGTCGCTTTCGCACCTGACCCCACCTTTCCCTTTTTAAACTTCTTTTAACTTTTCCCCAATGCTTCTAAAGGTCGCCTGCCGCCCCCCCCCCCCCAAATTTACTTTTTTACCTTCATCAAATTTTTAATTAATTATGATTACTCTTAACATAATTTAATTATCACGTAATTTCCTTTTTAAAAAAATATAATAAACATGCTAATATTCTACTAATGATATTAACAAAGATTCAATTAATATTTTAACTAATACATTTTAAATATAAGAGGATTTGAAGATTTCATGATTGATATATTTTAAATTTTACTTTTATAATAATTCGGAAATAAACTAATCACTTTTATGAATGCACTAATTTTTTTTTTTTACTCTTACAATATTTAATAATGATTCGCATAATTAGATTTATATTTATACGAATTTAATATTTATAAATTTATAAAATAAACAAAAACAAAAAAAATCATATTTTGATGGATTTAAATCAATAAATAATTTTAATTTATGACTTTGTGATTAATTCGTTTTTAACCCTATTAGTACGATAAATAAATAAATTTTATTTTAACACGAATTTTAATATTATCAATATATTTTAAATTATATGTAAATAAGGTTTACAAAATTATAAATTATTGAAAGGTGAGTTAAAATGCATTTTATTATATGTATATTTATATTTATTTGATTTGTAAGTTATTAATAATGAGTGTTTGGTAAAATATTACGTATAAGTTGAAATAATAATAAAGTGGTACTTGAAAAGTAATTTCATAATTCCTAATTAAAATATTTGAGTAAAACATATAGAAAAGACAAACTAAATTTTACTACTTAAGACATGAGGAATAAAATATTTAATTATTTTTATTGTGACTTATAATTATTACCTTATAAAGTAAATAAGTACAAATAAAAAAGACTATTTTGGTTAATTTTTGAATCATCCAAGTTATAAAACTAATTTTAATAAGAAAATAAGTAAAATAAAAGATCTCATTAATTTATTTTGAAAATATTATTATTATTATATATATATATATATATACATGGATAAAAACCAATAATTATAAGAAAAAGTTGAAATACAATTAGCTCATCTGAATCTTTTTTTGTTTTTCTTTTTTTAGCAAATGATGGTTTTTCTTTTAACGAGGGTAAGTAGCATAATTGATCACTTTTTTTTTTAAATATATATATATATATAATTCTCCTATATTTCTTAAAAAGGATAATAAAATGGGGTAAAAATATAAAATAAATAATTTAATAACCTTTTTCGTATTAAAAAATTCTCGCATCTTAGCGTAATAATTTTTATGACTTTTAATCAGAACATCAGTAAAATTAAATTTCATCTTATCCGATTTCGTAGTTCTTACGAAGTCGAGCATGAACCAATAAAGCAAGCTAATTATTATTGTAATTATAAATATGAGATATTTGTATTTTTTAGTCTCGAAGAAGTAACGGTTTATTGTTTTGAGTTTAGGATAATACTTACTTTTCTTACCCAACAAAAAAAAAAAAAAAATTGACTTAAAAATATTTCAATAAAGTAAAATGGATTACTAACAAAAAATAAAGTATGAACAAATTTAGGTATCTGCCCAGAGACTACTAATTGATGGCTTAGAAGGTGTAGCAGTGGGGGGATGATTGCAGCCGCGACTTATTCTGCTTCGCTACTCAAATGTTCAAAGGTCAAAATTACTGACTTTTCTTTTTTATTCTCACTGTACAGAATCGAAGACCTCAGCACTCACCTTTTTTTTTTTCTCTCTAATTTTCATCTTCTGCTGGCTGATCAGACACAATGAGCAGCTATTTATATGAATTCACCTTTGTAAATATTTTTTTTTATATTATATTTACAGATCAAGTTTATTCAAATTCGCATTATGAAAATTAAAATTTACCCACAAAAATAATCGTGTATTTTGTTTATATATATATATATATATTTAATTTCATAATTATATGAATTGCCGAGATTCAAGAAATAGAAAGATTACATGTAATGAAAATACCGATCTCATCAACCATGGCATATGCGAGTTAGATTTGACCCACCTTTGTAAAATTTCCAAAACCCATCATGGGAATTTTGACCAAGTTTTTTGGGTCTTTGATTTACTGGAATTGCAATTTGATATACATATATATATTTATATTTTTTATATTGAAACTTTCCAATTTGACCTACAGTTTTCCAAACTTATCATTAGCTCTGTTTTGCTTTGGCATTGCAGCTACTTTTGCATATAATTACTAATTGGAAGCTTATACTTCTGAATTAAAATCTAATTTCAAATTCAAGAGTTTTACTAAGAATATTTTGCCCCAAAACTTTTT